AAGCTCCGAGAATTTCCGTCAACCGATTGACAACCGGTTGAATAAAATAATTCGGCTCGGTTAACCGATTAAGGAAATTTTTCTCGGTTCAAATCACTAGTAATAAGTTGGTTGGGCAGTTTGATGTTTGAGAAGTGAATAGGGGGTTGGTAACGGTCTAAGATAGCAGCAGAGAGGACGAGCAGACTTAAGGTATAAAAAAGAATACTACTAGATCGTTCTCATGGGCCTTATGGGGTTCACTATTATATATAAAAAATATATTATTTTTTGCTACCCTACTTGGCTTTAGAATTAGATTAGAAGCTCTATAATCATGGTGTAAATTTTTATATACGGGAATTAAATTCTAATGCCTTCTTCTTATTGAGATTGTTAATTTGTTTTCTTATCTATCTAAACTTTTGTTAACTTTAAGTTTGCTAATTTGTCTTCTTATCTTTCCGAAGCTTGTTAATCTTAAATTTGCTAATTTGGTTTCTTGCTTTTGAATGCCTTTCTGATTGTAAAAATCCTAATATAAAAAAATAGAATAGGTGTAAATTTTTCAGGATAGATATAAATTTTTTCAGGCTAGGTGTAAAAAAATCATGTTAGGCTATTTCCTAAAGGTCTTGACAGAGTAAATTTTTTCGAAAAAGATTAGCATAGAGGCAAAGCCTCCTCACTTTGTGAGTCAAATCTTCTATCTAGTAGCCATAGCCCTATCCCACCTCTTGTTTAATGAACTTTAGGGTAAATACTAATAAACCAAAATAGAATAACTGATCCCGGAATCTCTCCTGCAGACCTTGGACAAAAAAGACCATAAATTCGAAAAAAAGAAAACCTAATGGGGTATGCTGTCAAGATAGGCTATCTCCTGCCAATTGAAAGATCAAAAAAGGATAATTAATTATTATTTGAACAAAAGTTTTCATACTATTAATACAAAGAACTAAATTGATTCACTTACTATCAAAAATAGTACTCCAATATCCTCGATATAAAAAGAATAACTTTAAAAAGACTCGTGATTTAACAAAACATCTTAATAGTAAATTTAAGTGCAAGCAAACCCAAATACCCAACCCGGTTCATCCACCTAGCCCTAATATATCCAGACTTCAATTGTCAGCATCTAATCCTCCATCTCCTGTAGTCTATGTTCATGAAAAGAAAGAATTCAAAAGAGGCCAAACAATGTATTTATCTATAGAGGATTTGGCTAACTGGCTTGCGAATCCTAAGATAAAAAATAACCCAACTATTATTAATAAAAAGGTCCCAAAAACAGATATAGAATGGTTTGATTTAATGGAAGAGTCTTCTAGTAAATGGCAAAAGAAAACCAAAGTATCCCAACCAATAGAAAAAGATTCTGAAGCAGAATTTGGCCCAACTACTCAAGTATACAGAAAAAGGCAAAGAAAAGACCGGGGAAGAAACCCCAACTCCTGAAATCATTGACCAAAGAGATGAATCTGAAAAAGATCCAAGGATTTAGATAAAAAAGTACCTTGGCCGGTTTCATTTCCAGATAAAGAATGGTATCAGGAATTATGACAAAAGGGTATTCAGATAGCAAAAGACATGTTTAAAGTAGATGGTACTGAATATGCTTTCTCAACCTGGTTTGCGGAAATAAAATTCAAAAAATATGAAGCTAGGATAACCAAAGAGCGAGCCCAAGAAATTTTAAATACAATTGATAATGGTGAGTTTTTAATAAGGTAAAATTTATTAGAAATGATTCTGTATATGGAAATGAATCTCAAACAAAGATCACTTTTAAAATTATTGATAAATATGAGCCTATTCGCGAATCAAAAAAGGCAGGTGAAAAATACATTAGAGGTGGCCCCAATGTTATACTTACAAAAAAAATGAAACCAGGATTTTGGATAGGAATAGACGAAAAATTTCTGGTTAGAGAAGTCAGTGTACAATCTGATGTAGAAAGACTTGATAGTAATGCAGTAGTTTATAGATTATATCGAATCTAAAAGCCAGATGTCAATCGATTAATACCTATGAAAGATGGAGTATTTAACTGTATAGCTCAACGAGTAATAGAGCATTTTGATAACACTAAGCGAGGGCATAAACTCACAGAAATTTGTCAGCAAAAAATAAATGATTGGGAGAAAAAAATATGCATTTCAGGTGCTCAAGTACAAGATGTAGCAGAGTTAGAAAAAATTCTTAAACGACTGATTAAATTACTTGATATAACTCATAGTACTATATTTAATAGTGAAAAGTATCGATCAGGTAAGTATGAAGAAATCGGAATGGTAGTTCATAATAGCCATGCATTTCCAAAAAACCAGCACTTTCCAAGAGATCGAATGGTCAAATATTATAAGGGTAATACATGGGAAGCTATCAGTAATACCCTTAGGGGACCTCAAGCAATCTGGCTTATGGGAGTGAGGAATACGAGTTAAACAATATCCCAGTTTGTTCTAGAAGATGATCGCACATTTAAAACATGGAAAAAGCATACAGAAATTATAGAAGCATGCAAACAACTGGTCAATAATACAATAGATTAGCAATATCAGGAAGGAATAATCAATAAGGAAAAGAAATTGATTCTTTCAGAGTCTCTAAAAGTTGTTAATTTAGCAGAGCAGGTATTTGGTGCAAACCATGCTGGAAGCCGACTCGCTAATGAAATCAATAAATGGCATCCAATATCTGGAAAAGTAAATGAAAATATAAGGCAAGCCTGTGTCGAGCATGGGCATGGTGAATGCTGGAATGCACTCATAGAATGACATTCGTATGATTGGTAGATCTACCCGTGATTCCCCGTGATAATTAACCAATCAAATCAATCAAAAAAATTAATTTCGCAAGTAAATTTTTATTACTATTAGCAAAGCTTTACATTTAATTTTATATTTAAACCATAATTCTATTTTATTTTCAGTCGTCACAACCTCTACTAGAGATACGCTATAACCTTTAGTTTATATAATCAATGAAACAATACCGCCTATAATGCTATATTAATCTGCTACTAAAGTAAACCCAACTATGATTACAACAGTTTACTCAACGATCTAACTCCATAATATTAATACACAAGATATATAGTAAATATTAAGTTAATTATTGCTATATAAAGTAACATGCAAACAATAATTTTTATGTTATGTTTTTCAAGATTAAAACTTACATGTAACATTTTAATTAGCCTTTTTAGTTGACTATTTTTAGTATTTAAACCTTATATATACTTAGTATAGTAATAAATAACGAAATACTTGCTTCTGAGTGAAGTTCTTGAGAATGTTGATTACCTCTTGATTATTTTGCACAATAGTTGTTAGCATCTTTTCGAAGCTGTATATGATTAAAAAAAATTTTTTTTGTTAGTAAAATATCGAATTCCTAAAAAGTACTTTAAAGCACATAAATTAGTTACCCGGGCAATTGAATCAATTAGCCAATTAGATGAATGTTGGTCTATGAGGAATGTACCTGATTATCATGTCAATAATGTCATATGTATTGATATGAAAGAATGTTATCCAGCAAGTATGCGAGGTCAAGGAGAATGTACACCATGGTTCAATAGGTTCGGACATCCAACACACTACCTTGTTCGAGTTGCAGTAAATGGAGAATTGCCAGAGGATGATATTACTGGATTTGCGCAGGTAAGATCTTTTAAATTTGCATCAAATATATATTCAGCGATTCCTGTCTGGTACAGAAAACATTTTGTGTGTCGAAGTGGAGAAGAATGTGGGAAAGAAAAAGGATGAGCACCTATTGTACTTCTATGATATCTTCTTGAGGTTGGTATTCTAGAAAGTGTGACTATTGGAGAGGCAATAATTTCTCTTACTAAACAAACCAAAGTATGACTACCTAGAAATCGAGATATTAGTTGTGCAATTATAGATAAGTTTACACAAGGTGGCAAAATTGATGAAAAATGCCTTACTCATTAACTTGTAACAGATGAAGGTGAGCTTGATTTCTTGATCAAAGATTGTACTGATGCTAGAACTTTTGCCAAAAGAGAAAAATATCTACTCGGATTTATACTTACATATTACAAGAGACATCAACCTCAATATACACATTTGCAGGCCTCAATGTTAGCATATACGCATATTAATTTGTTAGAGATGCTTCAGAGATTTGATCCTAATGAAGTAGTAAGGATTGCTACAGATTCTATATATGTACAAAAAGAGGCTTTATATAAGATCGAAAATATACCAGCATTCTTCAAGCAAGTTGAGAAAAAGTCAGATCTGAATTTATGTTCACACTATTCTTCTTGTACAATGTGTAATGATCCAGAAGAATTTCTTATTTCAAAATCAGAATATGCAAAATGGATTAAAGAGTTTCTAAAAACAAAAAAGCCTCTAGTGAAATATGATTGCAAAAGACATAAACCATTTATTTGCAGATTTTGCTTTGGAGAATGGTTTTATAGATCAGACTCCTATACTCTTTCACATCAACCAGAAGAACAAGAAATCTGAGAAATTCAACCCGGTCAATGACGTGACAAAGGTGAAAAAATATATGGACCAGTTACCGATATTGTATACTGGCCAAAGAATAGGCATTGGGAATTGATCAAAAATATTCCTAAAAGTACAGCACCCTCGATTCATGATCCTATTACAAGATGTCAGAAATCATATCTTAATGGAGGAGGTGGTTCAGGAAAAACAACGCATGCAATTCGAATTTTCAAAAATATAAACATGGTTGTATTTACTTATACAAATGCATTAGCTAAAGATTTTTAAGAAAAACGTGATATAAAAGCTCAAACCTGGCATAGTTTCTTCAGATGGAATAGAGTGGGAGAGTGGACACCTGAACGCATAGGAGAGAAAAAATTTCCACGAGTTGTTATTTGGGATGAAGTATGTACAGTTCCTAAGCATATTCTTGAAATGTTCATTAATTATTTATTAGAACATAAATGCTAGGTGATTTGTTGTGGTGACGATGCACAACCTCCGCCATTTTTCAGAGAAATGCCACATAATTGGTTAAAAGAGCATGCTGATTATTACGAAGAAGTTTTAACTAATTATCGTGCAAAATGTCCTAAGTTACATGAACTTAAAAAAGCTATACGTCGACAAAATAATCGAATACAATCAAAATTATTTTGAGGAATTCTCCCAACTATAGAAAAATGGAAATGTCTCAAAAAGAAATAGACTCCCTCAGATCGCATATTATTAGCACATATACTTTCCCAGAGAATTGCTTTCCAAAAATGTTTAGAACTTCATTAAATAAAATATCCTAAAATTCCAATCCCATTAATTTATAGGCCAAGAGATGGACACAAACAAAACTGCCTTGTCCAGATCCCTGGCCCATCTGGAAAGAAGAAGTTAGTTAAAAATGATATAGTATACTTATTCTTAAATACACTTCCTGACAAATTCTTAAAAGATATGTTGGCGGATAAAAAAGTTATAGATTGGGAACTTGGATATGCTATGACTATTTATACTAGTCAGGGGATGACTCTTAAGTCACCACAGCGTGTTTGGATTATTGATGAAAACTTAGCCTGGGATAATCTAATATATTTGGCAGTTGGTCGTGTGGAATATTTAAACCAACTCATTCGGGTTAAAGCGCCTCCATTACCTCCTGAAATTGCCCAAGAAATTGAGGAGACAAAAAAGAAAAGACAGCTAAAGCACAAATTGAGACCGTCTATTTAGGAAAAACTTATCAGATATATAGACCAGGACAAAGAAAAAGATCATAAATTTAATCTAACAGTTAACTATATCCTCACATTAAAATGTATTCAAGAAGACAAATGCGCATCATGTCTTATCGAAATGAAATTCGAATGGGATCAGCTAGAAGATATACTTCAGTAGACAGTAGATCGAATTCACAATAGTTTGGGGCATATTAAAGGGAATATACGCCTTACTTGTCTTCTTTGTAACCAAAATCATAGAGTCTAGATCATGGCAGTGATCCAGATGTATACATAGTTAATATTTTTTTTCTTTAAAATAAAAAAAATATTCGCAGAATACTTCAAGTTGAAGAACTCGATATAAAATCACAAAATTATCATCTATTGTTAGCGACAAATTACATATATTAAAGGTTGCACCATTTTCTTGCAACTATGGTGAGCCCAAAAGTATTTCAGAAAATTGATTAGGCCAATTTGATCCAAGATACGTATGACATCAGCAGTGCATGTGACTTAATGGGATCGTGACCCAGACTAGATTTGTTCATATGTTGAATCTTGTCTGACATTGCACAAAAAATTTGATTTACTATTATATATTAATCACATGGATCTATAATCAAAAAGCATTGGAGTACAAATTGCACAGGAAACACATATTGTGATATTAGTTATAAAGACTATATGAAACTTAAAAGCAGATCCGAAGCTAATATCTCCTACTTCAAAAAAAGAAGCGATTAATCTTACAATGTTTCGAGGTATTTTATATATTCAAATGTATCTTCTCCAAAATTATATGAATCTAGAGGGTTCCCATAATTATATTCTTCAATATTTGACAATATTGCATTTCTAATTCTTTTACTGAAAACCATATTTTTATTTAGCATA